ACACATGATATATCATCCTAAATGATTAAATATACAGCCCAAATTAAAATATAATAAATCCAAATAAACAATAACACAAATACAATGCTACAAATCACTATCAAGTGCTCAATCATCAGCCACCATTCAATATTGATAGGATTTAAAGCATAGTATAAAGATGTGAAATTATTTGGTTGAGCTTGAGAAGTAGAACCACCTTCTTTTTGCTCAAATAACTCTACTACAAATAAAATTCATAATACAGAGTGAAAATATATTACATTATAGTAATTTTAAATAATGAGAATGAAACAAAAGGATAATAGGTAAACATAATTATATTTGAAAGGAGGAAAAAATAAAAAAATAAAAAATAAAAAATAATAAAAAAGGCTGGCTCTGACTGGTCAGCCTGCTGTCGATTCAATTTTGATGGTTATAAATTTAAAAGATCCGTTATAAAATGAGCATTATTTTCATCAACCGAACTCATTATTTTTTAAGGGGTCGGCGAGCTGAGCCTATGGTCTAGGGAGTCATTTTTTACAAAAGCGAAAGGGCGGCAGCACATGGAGACTCTCTTGTTTTCGGAAGGCCCGGCTGAATGTCCAGAGATGCTGCTACAGAATATTCAATGAAGCAGCCGGCAATTCACAAAAGACAAAACTGAGACGGGGACGGCTTGGTTTGACTTTGGAACCCAAAGGCAACAATGGGGAGGCAAGGGCCATCAAAAAGCTTTCCACTGAAAATAGCCAATTTATTTTTTCAATTGAAAAAATACATATGCTAGTTCTTATGTTTAATATAAAAGTTAATTTGATATTCAATTTGATCTTAAATATTAAATTTTAATATACTGTATCACTAATATTTATCTACTTTTTTAAAATAGTCATTATTTTAATTGGTCATATTAAAGATTTCATCAAATGATAATTTTAGTTAATATATATAATTAGTAAATGATATTTTAAGGAAGACAATATATATTTTTTTAATAAATAACTAACTTAGTAAATTTTTTTAATATATTTAAATTAGTCAACTATACTTAATAACTTGATATTATTATTGCTGAGATCAAATTCATGACTTCTTATTTTTACGAAAGGCTTACTTTTTTTTTTTTTGAACTTCTGAAAGATGAAAAATTTTATGCTCTTTATAATTTAAGACCCATATCCTATTTTTTTAAAAAAACATTAATGTCGTTATTTGCATTTTTATTTCATCAATTCTTTTTACGTTTTTGGCAAAAAATAATCTTATGCTTAAATATTTTTTTATTTTTATTCACCAATAGGAAACCCATCCTTTTCGATTTTAAGGTATGTTATCTCCTCCTTGGTCTTTCAATGCATTTTCCAATCTGGGTAATGGAATTAACAGAGAAAAGTTGAAAAAAGAAATATAAAGAAAAATTTTCAAAAAGATGCCTCTTGCCACTTTTTTTCAAAAACATAGATACCTAATTAAAACCGAAAATATATATAAATATCAGCAAAATGGGTTATTTCTTTGTGAAAGACAAACCATATGAATTGCCTTCTGGATGGTACTTTTTTGAAAAAATGAAATCATTGTTTGGGTAAATTATTCTATTTCAGTGATTTGGCCAGAATCTCATTTCTTTTTATTTCCTAAATTTATAATTTTTTTGATAATGATACATATTAAAAGAATTTTCTATCACTTAAGTAATATCCTGTGCAAATGACTAATAAATAAGTCATTTAGAGAAACAACATATTCTTTTATAAAAAATTAACTTATATAATTTTTTAAAATATTTATAAATTTGATTTGGGTTAATATAATTTTTTGTTCTTAAAATTTGGATTTATTTTGATTTTGGTCCCTCAAATTTTAAATCTATAATTTTAGTCCTTGAAATTTACTCTGTCTTATAACGTTAGTCCTAGAAGGTACAAGAGTGTTAAAATCTTCTGAACCATTTTAAAGAGTGTTAAAGTGATAACATAAAACCATCAGATAGTATCTAATTGGATATTGCATGCATGGATAACGGGGGAAAAAAAAAAAGGAGAACAGAGCAGGTCCTCAAAATGTAACACAAAGAATGATTGTGCAGAAAGGGATGAGTTCTAGATTAAAATACAGCATAGCGAACAAGTTTTCAAACGAATAATGAGCCTAAAAAGAGGGTAAACAACTGTGTTTTGAAAAGATGTTCTCTTTTTTTTTAATCCCCTGTTATTTATATACAATTTAGATAAGTATTTCTTTGTGAGTTTACATCACCACTTTAATACTATATAACAATTTTGCAAATTTTAACACCATTATATTTCTTGGGACTAACATTTTAAGAAGACTAAATTTTAGGGACCAAAATCATGTGTTTGAAATTTGAGAGATCTAAATCAAAATAGATATAAATTTTAAGGACAAAATAATTATATTAACCCATTTAATTATTAAAAATTCAAGGGAATAATTTTTATCAACTCTTGGTAAAGCTGTTCAAAATCGCACGTGAAGCAGGAATGCAACACGACAACACCATCGACACGCGAGCTTCCTGGAAACTGGAATAAGAGCCTCTGAAACACAGATAAACACACGTGAGTGACGCATTTGGTGATCTCTGAATCTGAAGAGCTTGTTTCAAGAGAAAGCAAGCTTGCAAGTTCTGAAGCTGCCATTTTTGAGACCTTAGTTTGTTAGAGCTGTTTTCTTTCGCCTCCCTCCACATCGATCCAGGTTCATTTCCTCTCTTTTACTTGCTTTATCTTATGGATCCATTGCTCCATCCACTGTATTGCAATCTCTTTTCCCAAAATTTTCACAGAAAAATTCTGCATTAGATTTGCTGTTTTCTTCTCCTTGTGCTAACTGTTGATTATATCAGTCTCCTCCATAGCTACCTTACAGTCGTAGATCTAATAAAACTTCAACATGTCGAATTTTTTATACTTCTGGAAAACGAAGTCCCAAAACGTTCTAAGATATCGGTGGATTTTTTTTTTTTAACCTTGATCTATCGACCAGCGTCTTCATTTATTTTATTCAATTTTTGTAAATGAAGTAAAAGGTTGATTTATTTATTATACATTAAAAAATTATTAAATTATTTATATTTATCATTTTTTTAGTTAATATATTTCACTTACAAATTATATAATTTAATAATATATTGAACTATTTTAGAGATATAATATATATTATAACTAAGTAATTTAGTAATTTTTTTAAAATTACTCAATTAGTTTTTATGATAACATTATAAAAGCAAAGTGCTTGTCCCCATTTCGCTGTTGTGCGTAAAAAAGCATCGATATAAACCAACAGGGCATACTCTCTCTCTCTCTCGCCCCCCGTAATCCACTTACTTGATCCCACCGATCTTTGGTTTTACCAGTATTTGCCTAGTATTTGTGTTAATCCTAGAAAATTTCGTTATACTCCTCCGGTCCTAAATATAAGACCTATTTTGTAGTGTAAATTACACTACAAAATGAGTCTTATATTTAGGACCGGAAAGAGTATTAAATTATTAATTATTCGTTAAATTTGTTTGAAGAGAAGGAAGTCTGCAAAGCTCGAAGCTGACATTTTTGAGACCTTGAGATCTAAGCTGACATTTAGCAGGTTAATACTTGTTATGATAGATTAAGCATTAAGCACATGTTAGTTTCCGTAACAGATTCTAGAAGTAATTACAGCTGTCATTTATGAGCTAATCGCAACTTAATCACCACTTGTATATTGATCAATGAGCCTATACATACAGAGCAAGGGCCTCAATGTGTGTCAAGTCACTGAGCCTACATTCAGTTCATAATATCTTCTAACTATCCATTAATTCTTTTCTTTTTCTCTTCTGCTTGCTTCATCCTATTAAAATATACTATTTTGCAAGCATTTCCCTAAAATTTTCGGTGTTTTCTTCTCACGGGACAAATTCTGTAAATTTGTTAATGTCTTCTTTCTTTTAGTGTTGATAATCTCTTCCCTAGCTACCTTACTTGCTGAAGGCTGAAGCTAGAAACGGCTATCACAACCATTGCTTCAATGCTCCAAAAAGCTTTATTGATCCTATTGGGAGTATCAATTTGCAAAGCTATCAGACTCATCTCTCCTCGTAATGGTAACCAACCAGTTGCTATAGATGCTAGGTAGCTAGCTTCTTCTAAATAACCTCACACTCTTTATTTTCTTGTTTGATTTGCTCTTACATATAATTTCTTCATGGTTTATTTCCATTTGTAGTTCTGAAGACGATGTTATTTTGACTCAAACGGATTCTCCTCCTGCTACCAAGTATAATGTGTTCCTTAGTTTTCGAGGAGAAGACACTCGCCACAATTTTGCAAGTTATCTTTACAAAGGACTTCGAGATGCAGGCATTCACACTTTTATGGATCATGAACTCTGCAAAGGAGAATCGATCTCATCAGTTCTTCTAAGAACAATAGAGGAATCAGAAATATCTGTGATTATTTTCTCTGAGAATTATGCTTCTTCAACTTGGTGTCTAGATGAGCTTGTTCACATATTAGAATGCAAGCATAAATTTGGAAGAGTTGTGATACCTGTTTTCTATAACGTAGATCCTTCAAGCATAAGCAACAAAATAGGAATTTTGGAAAAGGATTTGATGTATTGAAGCAAAGATTTACAGAGAACTCAGAAGAATTGCACAAGTGGAGAAATGCTTTAATCCAGATCCAATCTACAAATTTCTTTGGATGGGATTCCCATAGTACCAGGTAGCTTCAAAAATGTTCCTTTTGTTGTTGGTATTGGGGATTTATTCAATTAATTTTTAGAATTCTAGCAAATCATTGTTGTTTTTATTTGTTGGTTTTGGGGATTTATGCGTTTTCTTTTGATTGACATTTATGCTAGACCTGAATTCAACTTATTATTGAAGAGATTGTCGAGGATATTTTGAGGAAGTTGAACTATGCGTCATCATCTCATCTTGAAGGACTCATTGGCATTGCTCGACATGTTAAAACATTCAGAGGCTCCTAATTGAGGCCCCCATTATGGGAATATGGGGTATGGGTGGTGCTGGTAAGACCACACTTGCTAAAGCTATACTTCAAGAGTTGAAAGCTCAATTTGAGGCTCTCTCTTTTATTGAAAATGTCAAAGAGCAATTAGCAAGAATTAGTTTGGATGAGTTACAGAAAAATTGCCTTAGAGAATTATTAAAAGATGAGGACATTAGCATCTATGACATAAAATCCACTTTTATGAAAAATAGGCTTCAGAACAAAAAAATTCTTCTTATACTTGATAATGTGGACAATTCAATAGTAGCAGCAGATTTAACCAAGGTACTTGATTGGTTTGGAGAAGGAAGTAGAATTATTATTACATCAAGGGACATGCAAGTGCTGAAGAATGCTTCTGTGGCATTTTCAACATATCATGTTCCGGATTTGGATTTTGAAGATGCCTTTCATCTCTTCAATTTGAAAGCATTCAAGCAAAATGAGCCATCTAAAGGTGACATGGAGTTATCAAAATCAGTAGTGAAATATTGTCATGGAAACCCATTAGCCCTAGTAGTGCTGGGTTGCTTCCTCTACGGCTGACAAAAAGAAGAGTGGGAAAGTGCATTGGAAAACCTAAATCAAGCTCCACCAAAGGACATTGTTGATGTTCTGAAGTTGAGTTTTGATGGACTTGATGACAAACAGCAGAATGTGTTTCTTGACCTAGCATTCTTAATTAAGCAAGGAGTTCGTATTTCTTTGAACCTAATGAGACAATTATATTGCTCTTCTGTGCATATTGAGATAAGTGTTCTTAGAGAAAAGTCCCTCATTTCATTTAATAATCATAATGATTTCATTGAGATGCATGATCTTGTGAGGGAAATGGGTCTTGAAATTTCAAGCCAACAATTATTCTCTGGTCATAAAACCCCTGTTCGACTATGGAGGCATGAGGACACTTGCCACTTTTTCCACAATGACTAGGTAATACTTTATTTTTTAATTATATTCTATATTCTCTTAATAGTTAATATTTCTTTTCCTTGTGATGTATTTTCTTAAAGTTATTTGTTTTCATTAAATTCTTCGATAAGTTTCAATATCTGCCCAAATAGACCTTTTTTTTTTTTAAAAAAAAAACTCCTTTCTTTGACTAAAATTCGTTGGAGCAAAGCAAAGTCTTTTTATTAGTTGTGATTTTTTAAGCTTAAAATTTTAGTTTTATATTTAAAAATTTTAAAAAAACTTTTAAAAATATATTGGGTCTTATATTAAATATATTAACTATGCTAGGTGTTATATTGAATTTGGCCATAAAAATATATTATTGAATTTTGTCCTAAATATATTAGGTCTAATTTTAAGCTTAAATTTTTAAACTTTCTATTAGTTCTGAAATAGAATATGATTAGGATGATGTAAGACGCATTTTTTAAATTTAGAGCATGAACGATCTTCAATAAATTATAAAATTATTCACGGAGATTGACATATTTTATATTAATTGATAGCAGTAGCAAACCAAAAATTGATGTAGTATGAAAGTGATTGCGTATACTTGTACACTACACATGCATACTCACGCATTTTCTTGATAAAAATTCAGTAATATTGCAAAAGGTACAAATTATTAAATTCAAACATAAAATTCTTTTTAAGAATTTTATATATGATAGGCGGTTGTATATACAATAGTTTTAAGAATTTAAGCATGTTCGTATGATTGTCCTCGCGAGCCTGCGTGCATTTGTTTTGTCCAATTTATTTATTGTAAGATAAAATGAGTTGTTTGAATAAAGTGCACAAAGGCATATTCATTGAGAAATTCCTAAAAGAAATATATTTAATTGTTCTATTTATTATTTGATCACCTTTTACATATTACCGATTTTTTCCCCATAATTTCATCGATCGGCGGCTGAGGCAATTCAATGCTCATCATTAGACATGAATAAGATAAACAAGATTGTAATAACAATTAGTAATATTCAGAAGAATTATAATTTAAAATCAGCTAGGACTTTTGTGATGCGTTATCTTAGAAGATAAAATTAGTGTATAAAGAATTTTCATTAAGTGATATATGCATACGCCTGTGTGAGCACAATTTACCGTTATTTGAAGTACAATGGGAAAATAAATAATAATAATTTTTTGCTTTTATAGTTATATTCTAAATATCTGCACATGCATATAGGTATATGCATCAATGTGCCTGTGTATTTATGATTGTTGAGAAGTTTATATATTACGGGAAAAACATGAATTGTAAGGAATTTTGAATAAAATGGATATAACAGTGTTAATTTGGATAAAAGTTGATATATTTAATTGTTTTATGGTATTTATGGTCATTTTTTTTAGGTAATAATAATTGTATTTCCCTCGATTTGATATTATTACTAGGCAATTGAGGCAATTCGATGCATGTCATTGGATGCAAGCAAGATAGAAAGCATCACATTGATGGCTAGTCATTTTCAAAGGATGCATCATTTAATGTCCCTTCAAGTTTACAAGTCAGATTGGGAAAAGCCTTCAAAGTTGAATATTTGTGAACCATTGGATTATCTTTCTAAAGAATTAAGGTTTCTTAGTTGGGAAGAATATCCACTGCCATCTGTGCCATTACAATTGTGTGCTAAGAATCTCATTGAACTTAATTTGCCTGATAGTAATATCCAACAACTTTGGGATCAGATACGTATAGTTTCTCATATGTCATAATTTTTTGTTGTTGTGATTCTAAGAAACATTGCCTAAAGTAATTCACAATGCAAATGTTTGCTTTATTACTATCTTTAAATTGATGGTAGTAGTAATTGTACTATGTACGGGGAGTCCAACTGTTCTTGTAGTGGGCATAAGAAAAATTGTTGAGTAAATTGTATGTGCATGTAGTTATGTAATTTATTTAACACTACTGCTTGTTTCCAAATCTAAAGAAAATAAATCTATGGTATTCAAAAAATCTCAGGGCACTCCCAGATTTGTCTCAAGCCCCTATGATTGAACGTATGATTCTTCACGGTTGTGTGAATTTGAGTCAAATCCATTCTTCGACTATCCCGTAACAATGTGTCGATTTATTTATAGGAGATTGTGGGCCGATGCAGATAAATGTCGGGGGCAGTATAAAAGGGAGAAGTTCATCAGGGTTAATGATTATGCGCAATTATTTGGATCTTGTCGATTTGACATTCAATAAAGTGACAATGAAGGTGATGGTGTGCGGCAAGATGATGTGTGGCGTTGGATTTAAGCATGTGACAATGCCATTGAAAGAGACGACAGAATTCATGAGAATGAGAATACAAAGTTTGGTGACTTTACTTCCATTTGTGAGGACAGTTGAATGGATAGAGGGTCTGATTGAGTTTGGGCATGATTTCAACCAACATCATACTTGTGATGTTCATCATTATTACAACGAAAATGTTCCCTCTAGTATTATTGTGAGGGTGAGGGGTGATAGAGGTGAAAGGGGTGTGAAAGATGATGAAGAAGAGGATGAGGATGATAGAGAAATGATTAGTGAGGATGACAGAGAAATGATTAGTGAGAATGAAAGAAAAATGAGTAGTAAAGGTGATCAAGTAGTAGAGATGACATTATTATTAATGGAAGATGAACAAGAAGAGGCCGATGAGGATGATAGTAAGATGGATGATACATTGTTAACAACACTTCTTATTCCTAACACCATCCCTCGCTGGTCACTATTGATTCGACTGACATTAAAAGAGGGTAATAGTATTGGGAATAATAATGCAGGTTGCACCAGCATCCCTGAAGTTTCAATATTCCTCAAATCACTTAATGAAGATTGCAGGGCAAGGATTCAACCCCTTTTAGGAGTACAACTCTCTTCCCCAATATCCCCTTTACCTCATCATTCTTTCAAAGTCTTTTATAACTACTTGGAAAGGATGCTCCAACGTCCTCGTTTTCTTTTTTTCAACAGTGAATACTATGGTCATGACTTAGTTGTTCACTTTATGAAGTACTGCTGTTGATATTAATTATCATTTAAAGTTTTTGGGTCATAAAATTGTCAGTCTCATTTATTTTTTTATTACATATTAATATTATGTTTTTATGAAATATTAATTTTCTGTTTTTTTTAAATATGTAATTCATGTACGAAGGGCCTCCTCACAACTCTATAACATAAAAATTGTTAATCTTATTTTGGCTTCACAATAACTGCACCTGTTGTGTGTGTTACTCTCCATGTGATCTGAGTATAGTAACTAGCATGGCAAACAATTTCCTTACTAAGCAATTTTATTATATACAAGAAAGTGGAATGACTGCTTATGACTTGACTTAGCTTGTAAATGTTAAAATGTTATAATATTTAAATTGTAAACTACATTAAAATAAAAGATATTTGTTTGATCGGCCACCGTCAATCATTCCAAGTTGATCAACGTGGTTAATTGGCACTGTGGTCATTTACACTTTTTTTCAAAAAAGAATTTATTTATACTTGGTTTTCTCACTTGAGATCTAGCAGTAATTTTTCCTTCATATTATATGACATCAAAGATATATATATATATATATATATATATATAAATTGAAGTGTCATTTATCGAGCGTTTCCTCACAACTTTAGAAAACACTCGAGAAATTATTAATCTTAATGTTTCTTTTCAATAATTGTTCTATTGTTTGTTACTTTCTGCCCGTGTACATTGTATAGCTCATTTAAAAATAAGTGGAAAAATAATTTTCTATTGCGAAGCAATTTCCTTGGGATTATTCATTATTTACCATACATAGAGTATCCTCTAATTTGTACTTCAAAACATGTATAGCCTGTTTGCATAAAATAGATTTTACTAAATTAAACTATAACGGAGTATATTACCATAACTCATATTTTATTACAATAAGTTGTTCACTTCATGAAACGTCATTATTTTTTTTACAGCAAAAACCATGTCTTTATGCATTAACTTTGTCTGGTTGAATGATAATGAAAGAGTGGAAAATTTAATAAGTTTGATTTTTTATCAAATTGAAGTAGGGTTGAAAGATTTTAATTAATTTTTTTATCTCTTACTCTTGTAACTTCTCTTTGTTAATGGAGGCACAATGATACCTATCATTTTTCGACAATGACAAGGTAATAGTTTTTTTTTTTTTAAAAAAATTATTCCATATTTTATACTCTTAATTTTTGTTTATTGGTGAAAATTTTCAGTTAGTCTCAATATTTAACTTGAAGTTCCTCAGTTTTATTTGTTTGCATGTTGAAACTTTTTTAGTTAGACTCGACCATTAAAAAAAATCCTTTCTTTAAATATGACTAAAATTGTTTGAGGCATGCATTTATGTTAGGTGTGATTTATTAATCAACTTTGAAATAGTTATTAAGTTTTGAAAATGTGGTACAAGTAGCACTAAGACTAGCAGTTAATTGACAAAAGTTTCTATTCACATTGATTTTATTTATACGGTTGATCAGTCTTTTCAAGTTCGTGACGCAGGTAATAACATCAATCTTCTCACTAAATTACTGAATTTATCCTTGTTAGATATAGATTTAATCAAAAAAAGTATAACATCTATGCTTAGTCCTTTAAATC